CCACTCTCTCTCAAGCATACAAATACCTATGTATCCAATTGTGACAATGCTCTTTTGTCTCCAGTCCCTAATTTTTGACCTCTTGTCTGAACTCTGAGTCCTGCTTGTGGGCCTGTCTCAGGATGAAAATTCAACCTGAAACAAACAGGAAATGCACGTGGAAAAATGGGAGTGGGGAGGGGGCTTCCTTGTCTGCCTTCTAACAAGGAGCCTCTATTTGCTTTCTCTTAACTTTGAGGAGATATCACTTCACTTTCATCACCATGCCCTGCCCTTAGTACTCACCAGCATCCCCAATCCTGCTTCTCATCTCCCTTCTCTTCTCCAGCCCCTCTGGGCCTGGTGCTCTGACCCATTAAACTGCAACCATCCCTGTTTTGCTATAACTAGCCTCTCCGGGCATGTCTACGCTAGCAAATGATTCTGAAATAACTCCATTCAAAATAACTCCCCACATAACAAAAATCGATATAGCACAGGGGTGGCCAACATGTGGCTCTTGAGCCACATGTGGCTCTTTGCTCACAGAAATGTGGCTTTCAGGGTTACAGCTCGTTTGCAGCCGGACATCCACTTTGTACACATGCCCCAGTTCCTGGAGGGAGAAGTGCATGGCTGTGGCGGTGGCGGTGAGATCCAGGCATTGGGTTAGAATGGGAGGGGCCTGGGGGTGCCGGGCTCTGGGGGAGGGGGAGGGCTTTGGGTTACAGTGGGAGGAGCTGGGGGTAACTCTGCGGGAGGGATGTGTGGCTCTTTGCACTACTATCCACAACTCTTTTGGTTCTTCGTGTCTAACTGATTGGCCACCCCTGCTATAGCATGTCCACACTAGGGGGGAGCTTTGAAATTAGTCTGAGGAAGGCTCTGTTAATGTGGACGCACTACCTGAATTAGAGCCCCAGGAAGCACTGGAGAGCACTGGAGAGTGATTACTTTAAATGACTCTGGGGAGTAGTTATTTCAAAATAGCAGCAGCAGAGTGTCCACGCTACCACTATTTCAAAATAAGCATTATTCCCCGAGGAAAGCAGGAGTACAGATTTCCAAATAACCAGCCCGTTATTTCAAAATAACAGGCTTGGTAGTGTGGATGCACTGCTTATTATTTCGAAATAAGGGGGGTTATTTCAAAATAACTCCCTAGTGTGGACCAGGGCTCACAGAACTCATCCCTAAAAAGTCCATTTCCCTTGCCTTGTCTTTGGCAGATTCCAGCTCACCTCAGTTTCGTTTATCCTGATGTATGGGAAACTGCGGCAAACCCTTTGCTTCTCCTCAAACCAATCCAGCAGATTCAAGCAGCCCACACTATTTCTGCATTTCTAGTACTGCCAAAAAAAAAACCCCAAAACAAATAGAAATATCCAGTTCCTAAAACAACCAAGAAAACCCTGTCTGCACTCCTTGAGGATTTACATTCATATCTCTCTGGCAGTAATTGTTCTTACTGGATTAGACAAACACCCCCAAAGCACCAAGCACATGAGAGGGAAGATACTGCCAAAAATCACAGATGGATGGCACCAACGGTAACTATCATAGGGTAAATACAGATCTAACTTTGCAGAATTTATAACACACCAAGGAAGGCATTGATCATGGTAGGAAGAAAGAAGAAGTAGCATATCAACTGTCTAGTATTATTTCTAGAAAATTGTTCTCTTAAATGAACAATAGTGATTTGCAGAACAGTGCTTCTCTGTTATTATACAGGTTCCTAGACCTTTCCCCTTCCTGACTGCTGTGTAAGCATTTCACATCTCCTTTAAAACTAATCGCCCAATCAAGCTGCAATCACTGAAGTTCTTTCCAGCCTTCGTGAAAGTTTAGACTCTGAGCCCTGGTCTAGCCTACACTAGTCTACAGTGGGAGGCTGAGAAATTTCCACCACAAGCAGACAGGAACATTGATGAAAGTGCAGGGGTTTTTGAATGCCTCTTAGGCGCTGATCTTTCCCTGCCTTTCCATAGCAGCAGCTGGCATAGCACTTAAGAGTGAAACTGTGTTAATTTGAAGAGTGGCAGGAGTCATCTGTATTAACCTTCTCAAGGAGAAATTGAATAGAAATAGACTTGCTTAACATCCATTTTGGAGCATCTCCCCCGCCCCATGCGCTCTACTTTCCATTAGCCTTCTTAGTCGTCCCTCCCTCATCTAGGCTGTAGCACTGAGTGAAGACACCGCCGATGCTGAAAGGAGAGCTTCTCTGTCAGCATAGGTACCCCAACATCCCCAGGTGTCAGCTATGTCAATGGGAGAAGCTGTCTACAAGAGGCCTTAGGTCAGTATAACTGCATCACTCAGGAGTGTGGATTTTCCACACCCACAAGTGATGTAGTTCCACTAACATGTTTGCAACGTAGGCTGGCACTTAAGACACCTTTTAGAATGAATAGATTTTATGAACCTCAAATATGCATTAAGTACAAAATACTTCCTTGTAACAACTTTCATTCCCTGTTGATCTGAACTGAATCAGACATGGTGATGCAAATGTGAAAGGCGCCTGAGCTATTCACTCTTCCAGTAAAGGGTTGTTTCAGGGCATTCATCCATGATCTGATCCCTCCCACTTAATTATGGTCAGAACGTTTTAGGAAGCCTTCTCTCACATTTGCAAAAGCATGCTTTGTACTGGGCATTGATGGCTGCTTTTTTGAACAAAGCTCTGACCCTCTAAGCATCCATCAGTGTTCCTTAAATATCCTGTAAGGCTTCCAGATTCCTCACCTTTCTGTTACCACTCTGTGGTTATTTCATGTCATTCATTTAAGGCTACATTAATTATGTTACAGATGACCTACACAGTTGAAAAGAGTACTAAATGCTTATTTGTGCTGTCTGGGCAATCAAGTGAATACATGTTAACTTATTTTTGAACCATTTCCAGTATGTATAGAATAAATCTTGTGGCAGTTCTGTATGAATGGAAATTTCTGTCCTTGAAAATTTAGTGGATCTTCTGGATGCACTAGAAAAGTTCCAGAATGCATTATTCTGGAACAAAAACTTCAGAGGAGTAGCCAAGTTAGTCTGTAAATAGGAAAACTTAAAAAAAACAACAAATACAGGCAGTCCCCGGGTTACATGGATCCGACTTACATCGGATCCCTACTTACAAACGGGGTGAGGCAACCCCGCACTAGCTGCTTCCCCCCAGCAGACCAGGGAGACGTGAAGCTAGCCCCCTCCCCCCCCGCAGACCAGGGAGACGCGGAGCGGCTTTTCTCAGCCGACACCTCAGCTTGAGAATAAAGGACTGAGGGAAGTGAGGTGTGGGAGAATAAAACTGAGCTCTGGAGAAATGTTTGGCTAGAGTTTCCCCTACAATATGTACCGGTTCCGACTTACATACAAATTCAACTTAAGAACAAACCTACAGTCCCTATCTTGTACGTAACCCGGGGACTGCCTGTCGTCTAGCAGCACCTACCTGTTTTGTTAGTCTTTAAGGTGCTGCTAGACTATTCATTGTTTTTTAAGTTTATTCTGGAACAGACAAGGCAAAATAATATCTGTTATTGGTGAAAGAGATGCTTTCAAGCTACACAGTGATCCTCTTGAAGGCTGGGGTGACCTGAAAAAGAGCTCAGTGCATATTGAAAGTTTGTCTCTTTCCCCAACAGATGTTGGCCCAGTAAAAGATATTACCTCACCCACTCTGTGTCTTATAACCGGAGACCAGCAACAATGCAATAATTCTGGGAGGTCAATGATTCCAGGACTCTTCTGGAATGTATGGCATGCCAGGATAACACGTCCCAGGCATCTTTAAAGACATGAAAGCCAGTGGATTGTCACAAAAAGGAAAATACTTTGTTAAAAATTTTAGATGAGATCTTTTGAAACTGAGGCCAAGTCTACACTGATGCTCTACAGCGCCGTATCTTTCTGGTTCAAGGGTGTGAAAAAACACCCCCTCCATGCGCTGCAAGTTACAATGCTGTAAAGCCACAAATGTGAACCAGGCTCTCAGCACTGTTAGCTACTCCCCTCGTAGAGATGGTTTACACAGAGCGCTAGCAGAGCTCTCTCTCAGCGCTTGTGCGGTGGCCACACTTTCAGTTTTAAGTGCTGCCGTGGCTGCACTTTGAACTGTTCAGTGTAGACAAAGCCTGAGGCTCTGTTGGAAGTTATACAGAAAGTGTCAACATTACTTGCTTTTGTGGTATCTGAACAGCCTGGAATGATGAAAGCTGCTATAGAAAGTTAAGATTATGAGACTTTATTTCGGCTCTAAGATCATCCCACAACTGGGTGAACTGGAGCAGAGTCAGCACGTGCAACATTTCCTGCCTTGCCTCAGTCTGCCTTTTAGTTTTGCACTTCAAAGTTTCCCCTCAGTTTTTCCACCTCTGCCTGCTACTTCAGTACATGTTGTGTGTCCTGCAGAGTTGAACCACAGGGTCACTGTGCATGTCTCTTTCAGGGAGACAGAGGGAGAAAATACAGAGTTCTGGACAGCACCCAGCCTGGAAATAGAATTCTGTCCCGCTCTGTGTTTATGCTGGTGAGGGCAAGAGTGCAACTTAAACTTGGAACAGGTGACGACCCTTAGCTCCTGTAGGAGCCCACTCCACAGTTGTAAACCAGTCCCAAGAAAGCCACGTCTGCTGCACAGATGAGATGAACCCAGGACCACCGACAGGGGTGGGGGGACAAAGGGAGCAGTTGCCCCGAAGCCCTGAGAATCGAAGGGGCCCGGAGCTCACAGTGGCAGCAGCCGTAGCCTGGGTCCCTTTGAATTGCTGCCAGAGCTCTGCTCCATGCGGCGCTGAGGGGGCACTGTGGTCTGGGTGGCGCTACGGGCTAACTGCCTGAGGGCACCCCTACACCTTGCCTCAGGGCCCATGGTGACTGTCGATCCCACTGGATTAACCTTTATGTTGGAAGGGATGGGGGAAAAACAGGGAGGTTTCTTTCTAATCCCCCACATGAAAGACAATGATGGAAAAGAAAAGGGACAGAACAGAGGAAAACAACCATAAGAGCCCAGACGATTTCATTTAATTTACACTCTTTATTCAATGCTTCAAATTTATGATTTAATGGCAATTTAATTAATTCCATTAAACAAAAATGAATTCTCATCCGAGCCATTGTCGAAGGTGAGGTGACATTGCCTTCTTCCCAGGCCAGAGAGCGAAAGTTAGATTTCTTTCCCAATCCCCTTTAGATACTAGGGCCATGTCTACACAAGGAGCTCTTTGCTGGCATGACACACAGCGGTATACCCTCCTGGCAAAGCTTGCCATGTGAAGATACAGCTATACCAACAAAACTGTGCTTTGTAATGGCATAGCTTATTCCAGCCCCTCTCATCTATCCCAGGAAAAACCAGCTAGCCAAGGAAAGCCCAGTTCACTGGTGTAGCTGTGTCTGCACTAGAGACTTTTGCTGGCCCAGTTGTGCAGGTCAGAGATCACACCCCTTCTCACCCTGACACAGCTGTGCCAGCCAAAGTCTGTGGAGTAGACTGAATCACCTGTTACCTTCACTGGGAAAATCTGTTGGCTGGCTGCAGTAGGTACCAGAGGGAGGGCAAGGCAGGAAAGATGAGGAGTGTCCTCAGTCACACTTGTCCATTTAAGAACCTCAAAGAGAGAAGGAAAGAGGTTGGACCCCTGGAGAGGGGTGACGCAAACACAAAGAAGTGATGGGGGCAGGGAGGGAGTGAGTGATCAAACTGCAGCCGTTGGAAAGGTCACGTGAGGTGCTACTTGTACTTTGGCAGTTGGGGTGTTAGGCCTTGTAGGTGGTGTCAGCAAACACTGTTAAGGCTAATTCATATTTTGACAGTGTTACAGTGAAGCCCATGCCCTTTCAGAGCATGTCTCGGAGGCACATTTCTTATCAGGGTGTCTATACTGCAGTCGAAGAGCCAGGGCACTGGAGGGTCTTGGAGCCTGGGATCTTGCCTGAGCCCAAACAACTACATGGCTATTTTTAGCCCCACAACCCAAGCCCTCCACACCCAAGCCAGCTGACTGAGTGCTGTGGGCTTTTTATTGCAGTGTAGACACACATACCCAGAGACAACCAGAGGAACAACATATTTGGCCTGTGTTTGTGTGCATGTAATGCATGCCTCCACTGCCCTCTGCTGGCTGCTATATTAGACATGTTCAAGTGGTATCCTGAACACTAATGCCTCAGCAGGGGAAGATTTGCCTGTAGGTCACATGGGAGCATCCTGTGCTTTAGATGTAGAAAACCCTGAGTTCTCTCCCTATACACAAACGCCTCAGTAGTCACAGGGTATAACGAGTGTGCACTCCCACGGGTCCATGGATTAGTTATACAGTCTTTTTCTTCCTAAACTGCTAAGGGCTCATCTGGGGGACTAGAGGCTCCATTTGCACTAATGTCTACCTTTTTAGAGCATCAGTAACTGGCCCATCAACTCTTTCACTTTTAGGAGTATGGCTGTGGAGGCTATTCAAGCCATCTCCAGTGGAAGTTGCAATATGATCATTTACTCAGGAATCCAGGGGCCCACCCTCCTACCTTTACAAAAAAAACCACACAAGGCATGTATATACCAGCACTCCCATTTGGCACAGCATGCCAAGTACCCCGCATCTATGGAACAGCTCTGGCATCCCATCTGTGCCTCCGCTGTGGTTTGGTCTCTCTCTTCTCAGATTTGTCCCAACAAAGCCGTCTAAGCCCTTGCCCAGTGGTTTGACCTCTCTTCTCTACCCTGCTTCTCCAAGGTTTGCACTGGGGCTGCCATTCTTAAATGCATAATGATGCTTAACAACACAGCCCTCGCATAGTTCTCTTCCCCACACTTGCATTTCTCCCTCTTCCCCACACCCAACTCCTATTTTCATCAACCTCAGATTGTGCCAGATTCCTTGATTCGCGTACATGGGGCCAGAGCAGGGCAGGGGTTAGATACCAAGGTGCCAGGCATCTCAGAAATATCTATGTTAGATAAAAGGTTTCTTTCCTACAGACACAGCAAATGAAATGTCACCAGACAGAAGGGTGTTAATTCCCAGGCCCACAGACTCCTCTTTCCAGGCAGGTGGTCTCCTCCCTTCGCATCCTCTCTATTGTTCAGTGCCAAAAGAGGAGGAGTAGGAGAAGGACTAAGAACAAACATCTTAAAAACCCCACACTCATTACTGGAATTAAGCTTCTGCAGCTCCACACCTCTGGCTTAGCCAGCTCTCTGCCCTCGGTGCTGTGTCTTCTGGGAGGCAGCAAGGGAGGGGAATACCTCTATGTGGAGCTGCTGCTGCTTATTTATGTAGATAGGCATCCAACCAGAGCTCCCCAGAATCCTTCAAAGAGCTGCAGGACAAAGAGAGGGAGTCTGATTAGTTTAGCAACAAAATGATGAAATATAGCAGCACAGTGAAATTAAAGATCAAGACAGCACATTTGAGGGCTGGGGGAATGAAATGTAGCGTAATATTTAAATCTCTCGCATGGAACGTATCAGGAAGGCCCTCAAAGACACAGCGACTTCAGGCTACAGATCCTGGGACAGGCATAGGACAAGTCACTATGGAGTCATAAGGAACTGCTGTATGAGCCGAGGGTTAAAGCAAACAACCCACCAGGAGATATAAAAGAAGGAGGCAAGCAAAGGAGAAGACATGGTCAAGCAAGGTTTCAAGGCTGCAAATAAGAACTACAAAAAGAGAAAGAAGGAATGAATGAGGCTTGGGACAGACCTGTCTAGCAGACCCCCATGCTGGCATAATAGCAGAGTGACGAGAGGGGAGTCAACTAGCTGGGAGAAGAGGCCGCTGGTGGAGGGTTCTCCAGTAGAATGTCCACACTAGCTATCTGCATCTGATTCAAACCAGTGGTGAGATATAAATGGGTCCATATCCCATTCTCAGTCCCCTGAACCACTCAATTCTATTTCTACTGCCTCTCTTCTGTGCACCGGTAGCCCTTCCACCCCACATCACTAGCAGACTTGCTTTCCCACAATGGCCATTGTCTTCCCACAAGGCTCAGTGTCCCCATCTTGTCAAAGGCTACTATCCAACATTTTTACATTGACTGATACATACTGCACAATGTCTGCAAAGGCAGTGAAGAGGGGCTTAGACTGGTATTCGATGTCGTGCTTGGCACACAGGGACTTCACCAGGGGGGCCACCTTCCAGTAGTTGTGTCGAGGCATTGTGGGGAAAAGGCTGTGGGGAGAAAAGGGGGCAGTCTTAGTGAGCTCTCATAAACTTTAAGGCAGAAAGGATCGTCAGGATCATCTAGTCTGACCTCCTACATGTACACTGCAGGTCACAGAACCTCACCCACCCACCTCTGTAGTAGACCCCTAACTTCTGGCTCAGTTAGTGAAGTCCTCAAATCGGGATTAAAGATTTCAAGTTGCAGAGACTCCACCATTTACATTGCAAGGGAGCTGGCCTCTCGCTCAGTGCTTCACAGGCTTCCTGCCTTTCCACAAGGAGCAAACCTCACAGATGCATTATTCCCACCTTGGCTCTGGGATCACTTAGGCTACGTCTACACTGGCATGAATTTCCGAAAATGCTTTTAACGGAAAAGTTTTCCGTTGAAAGCATTTTCGGAAAAGCGCGTCTAGATTGGCAGGACGCTTTTCCGAAAAAGCACTTTTTGCAGAAAAGCGTCCGTGGCCAATCTAAACGCGGTTTTCCGCAAAAAAGCTCCGATCGCCTTTTTCACAATCGGGGCTTTTTTGCGGAAAACAGAACTATGCTGTCTACACTGGCCCTTTTGCACAAAAGTCTTTCGGAAAAAGACTTTTGCCCAAATGGGAGCAGCATAGTTTTTCCGGAAAAGCACTGATGATTTTACATGAGATCGTCAGTGCTTTTCCGGAAATTCAAGTGGCCAGTGTAGACAGCTGGCAAGTTTTTCCGGAAAAGCAGATGATTTTCCAGAAAAACTTGCCAGTCTAGACACAGCCCCCGTGCTCTATAGCATTCCTTTCTCACGCTAATCAGGGCCTGTACTCACAGATCCCCCAGACTGTCTCCTTCAATGGATGTAGTCACTGGGGCCCCAAGAATATTCCTGCCCATCTGGTGCCCAGTACAGTTCCCTCTCCTCCTCCATGCCTGGTGTCCCATAGATTTCCTGTCCTTTGTGCCTGTCTTTACTGATGCCCCACAGGATCCTTTGCCCTCCCCATAGTAACCGATGTTCCTTCACCCCGGTACCTATACTTACTGATGTTCGATCTGGAAGTTCAGGTGCCCGCTAAACCAGTCATTGAACAGAGACTGGTGAACATTACACGTTGCCTGGAGCTGAGGAAAAAGGGGAGCAGTGAGTGTGGTTCTGTGAATGCTCCTTTCTCATTTGCCTGAACAGTAGGACAACCTGGTACCTCCTCCTCATCCTCACTCTGCTCTCATTGGAACAGATTCAGCTGAGGATGGGGAGCTCTCGCTCCTGCGGACAGTGGGGCCAGGCCGGGGTGAGAATGGCATTCTGGGATATGGGATCACAGTCCGAACCAATACTGAACTGGTCTCACCAGCAGGATTAGGCCAAATCTGTCGCAATTCTCCTCTGAGAGACCTCCTCACACAGGAGCCAGGCACAAGAAGCAAGAAGGACATAGCTGCCTCTTTCACTCCAGATCACCCTGCAGTCACCATGCCAGCCCTTCTGAGTGCAGGCTCCCATCCCATTACCACAGATTCCAGGGTGAGTTATACCCTATGGCTCCCTTCTGACCCCTAACAGCTAGGGCAAAGTGCCACCTAATCTGGAGTTTACACCCACACACCCTCAGCTCCCAGGGAAGGAAAGGATCATACCTGGGTAGATAACCAGTCCACGTTCTTATCGTAATCGATGTGCATGGGGATGTGGTTCATTTGCGTCACCCACACGAACCAGTTACTCTCTATGAACCTGTGTGACAAACCCACACAAAACAGTCACTCCCCATATGCCCCACTAAGCCGTGACAGCCCAGGAACAAACCCATAGACTGGGCCAAAGTAGTCACTGCTTGATAAAACCCCTCCCATAGACTCCAACCAAAAGGACAGCCATAGGCCCACACAGGTGATAACACCACAGGGAAAATGGTCTCCCCAGGAAGTCACAATGGACAGAAGAGATGGGGCAGACAAAAAGGAGAGACGGAAAAAGTGACAGGAGGACACGGGAAGGGCAGAGCGGAGGGACCTGGGCCAAAGTAGTCACTGCTTGATAAAACCCCTCCCATAGACTCCAACCAAAAGGACAGCCATAGGCCCACACAGGTGATAACACCACAGGGAAAATGGTCTCCCCAGGAAGTCACAATGGACAGAAGAGATGGGGCAGACAAAAAGGAGAGACGGAAAAAGTGACAGGAGGACACGGGAAGGGCAGAGCGGAGGGACTGATAACGGCTATGAGCTGGAGCAGCCACTGGGGGCTGGAGGGCAAATGGTACCTGGCCCGAAAAAAGAGA